CTGGGAAACTTCAATTTATTTTTTACAAAAAGGTTGAGGGATGGGACTGAAAGATCCCTGCCTGATAGCCTGGAGAGCTACTTATTGACTAGAAATCTTTTACAATATATGGAGAGGATGGCACTTGTAATTTAAACAAATATCTGGAGTGAAAGTTGGACTCAAAAGATATGCCCCTGAGATGTGGTGTGTGCCATAGGGAAGCTTGCTTCTTTTCATCCTGGGAAGGTGAAATTTTTTGCATCAAGACAAAGTATAACACTACCCCCTTATCCACAGAGTCAATACCTATAGTTTCAGTTGCCCACACAAAAAGAAATCCTTTTGTAAGTGCTTGTTGGCCTCTCCAGGTCCTCCAATGTTATTCTATGTTATGCTTCCACATCAAGTAGAGTCAAAATATAGAGTTCAGTATTAACCACAGTTAATATCGGAGGTTTTGTATGTCTTTGAATGTATCCCCTACAGATACAAGGGTAGTTCTATATACAAGAATTGGTATCATTACAACTGATGTCAAAAGTCCTAATCACATGGCAGCGCTATTGTATTTTGAAATATTTTCTACTCTATATGCTCATGAAGAAGAAAAGGAATGGTGGAGATTTCAGAGGTAAATGACCTTCTCTTTTAGATCGTTGGGGGAGGAAGCATTTTTTCCAAATGTTTTTGTGCAAATGTATAAATGAAAGAGATTGATCTAAACCTAATGCAAGAGTGAGATTTATGTGTAGTTTAACATTCAAGTAATTTAATTAAGATTTACCTAGTTTTCAATACCATATCTTTTTCGTTTATAGTTATTCCTCTTGCTACTGCTTATATCTTCTGAGACTCTCCTTACTTCTTCCCTTCCCTATTTGTCTCTTGCTTTGGATCTTTCTCCCTCACTTCTTTGCTTTTTCTTTTTTAAAGTCATTTAGGTTCTTTCCTGTTATTATGCTGAAGTAATGAGAGTTGAGTGAGTGCATGGACATGTGGGTATGGGTATGTGCACAAAAGTGGTGTGGAACAAGATGAGATCCACTGTTCTGTGATTGTCTTCTCAAACCTACATTCCACTGAATTTGAAGTTAGGAATACTGAAGTAAAGACTGAATATTAATAAAGGGACTCAGACAGGAAATGCATGTGTTTGTGTGTGTGTAGGGAGCAGGGGTTAAAACTGTGAAAGATGGAAGATTTTGTACAGAAGAAGAGTTTAATGATGAGCTGAAACTGCTGCAATTTCTTCTTCTACACATACACATCATCTACTTTTCTGCATTTGACCAACCAGAACAGAAAGAGATAGGTAGGAAAATGTAGAGTTATTCAGAAGTAACCCTACAGAACCACTGAATTTTACTCCTTTATAAATGTTCTTAGCACTAGAGCTCAGATGAATTCATCCATTGATGTATATTTGGGAGGTGGGGTAGTTAGCTAAATAAATTACAAAGAGACAGTGTTTCTACATCTTTAGCGGCTCAGTATAAGAACAATTTTAGCAGGTTGTTATGCCTTTTTCCACCCTAAGATGAACTAGAAAACAACAGACTTCATAATGTTAGACTGATGGTCCCTCAGTTATGCTATGAGTTTTCTTATATCTGGAACCACATTATTCACAACCCAGGCTTCACAAGTTCCTGTTAAGATGGCAATTTTATATTTCACTAGAATGCTTTTTTTAAAAAAAATAAACTCTACATATATTTAAATATGCATAACTCAGATGAAAATTAAGATTTTTTTAAGCCAAATGCATAGAGTGTCACAGCAAGGCTATGTCATATTTTGGCAATTAATTAGACTCCATTATTTTTGATGAACTGGATTTCTTGTACAGCAGAAAAAATGTAGGCCAAGAGGAGTTTGTTAGTGTTGTATGTTAGTCCCACAGGTTTTACTTCCACCCTTGTATTATGTTAGCTGACCTGTTCTCCAATTCACCAAACAAATTGGGCACTAGCTGTAACAGGATAGACGTGAAGTCTAAGGGTGCATTTATACTGTAGAATAAATGCAGTTTGACACTACTTTAACTGTCATGCCTCAATGCTATGGAGCCCTAGGAATTGTAATTTGGTGAGGCTACAGTACTCTTTGGCAGAGAAGGCTTGTTCTGCCCCCACACTATCTTAACTACTTGGAATGTGAACTGGCTGTGCAGGAAACATATTGGAGACTATATAGTTGAATCAAATAAGAATTTTTTAACTGACAAGAATTTTAGACTTTCTCTTTTCTACAAAGTCTCACTACAAAGTCTTTATGAGGAGTGGTAAAGTCTTTGAGAGATAGACACAGTTCTGGTTGAAACTGAGGCTCTTAAATCTTTGTTTCTTCTTATTGTCTCTTTCTTGTAGCTGTTTCTAAGATGGTTCCAAAATTTAACTCCAACTGGACTTGAATACAGCTCTGACTGGACTTGCAATTTGTAGACCTTCTGGCCTTCCTCTCTCCTCACCATCCAGTCACAAAAAGGCTGACTCTTCCAAGAACCAGAAGTGCCTTGCCTGAGGCTCTGCCCCTGAGGGAATTCTTAAAGGGGCAGGGCGATGGAGGCTTCAAATGCAAAGAGAATGTCTAGACTGACCCACCAGAAACTGAACATAAAATATTAAACCCTCTAACTAAAAAGGGCTTAACTAGGGGTAAGAAGTGAACATCTTCATGGGACATGACAGGGCGAAATACCCTGTAAGACTGCAGCTTCCAGGATTCCATAGGATTGGGCCATAACAGTGGTACTGAATAGCATTCGTTCTACAGTGTACATTAGTGGTTTCCAACCTTTTTTTTTAACCAGGTACCACTTTGACCATTCTCCAACATTAGTACCAAAAGTGTTGCAAATCAGTTTTTTGTCAAATTTAGATTCGATTGGGTTATTGTCATCTATCATGTCCTGCAGCTAATGATGGTTGGTGGTGGCAGGCCTAGCAGTTGGTGATGGAAGGGTTAATGATAGTTTTAGTTCTAAAGGGTGAAGTAATCTGTAAGTAAGAGTTCATGGGTGAAAGCAATTAAGGGTGAAGGTATGCAAGAGAAAAATTGCAGCTGGGTGTTTCTGGATATAATGAACTAGCCTTGGGACTGATCTTCGGGAGAAAAGTATTTGTTTTATTTTGGTGGTAGATGCTGCTGGTTTTCCCCCAGGTTTGTGCATTTTTGGTATCCTGACCTGTCTCCTGAACCCTTGGAACCTTGAATCTTTGGACTGGCTTTTGACTACGGTATAGACTCTTGATCGCTGGACTTTGTTCATTGAGCTCTCAGCATTTGACCACTGGACTGGACCTTTTGACTACAGTGTTATCTTGAACATGCAAGACTGTTTGCTGTCAGTTTTTGATTTATATTCTGTGGCTGAGTGCTATCTTTTATCATCATTATGTTTTATTTTTTGGACTATTAAAACAGGCAGACAGTGCTGCTGCTTTAATTAAATTGTTTAACACAAACTGGGAGATTGTTTGGTTTACTTCTGCTGGAATAACGGCAGAGCCCTGGCAATGTGACAGTTATTTAGGGAGCTAACTCAGAAAATTGCATTAGATAGACCACATCAGCTCTAGTTTCTGGATACAGAACATATGCCACCCAGTAGTTGCCATCTGCTCATCCACAGAAAACCATATTTAATAAGCCACAACATTATAGAAGGGGTTTGTGAGACCAATCATTCTCATTGCAATGGTGTAGGCTGCAGACCATGTTTTAGTTCTTGCAGACCACTGGTGGTTCACGGACCACAGGTTGGGAACCACTGGTATACATGAACCCTGGGACTCTGTTCAGTGGTAACTCCTGGAGGCAGGAATAATATTTGGTAACCCTGTATTGTCATATAAATATCTGTCAAGTTGATTGTTGTGGTGCAGAGAAATTAGGGAACAGTTAATGAGTGAGAACAGCATCTAGAAAGTATGAACTCAATGTCTGCATAATAAATACGTAAGCAATACCACTGGTCTTAATGTAATACAGTATGAATTTCAAATGCTGACTAAAAAATAATATTCACCACAGCTTGCCAAAATTTAAAAGAAATTCATTATGTTCTTTCCTGTTTCATATGGTCAATTGTGTAGCAATGATCCTACTTTTTGTCCATGAAATTAATGCTTGACAACAAAGCATTAAATAGATGTTTACATTTTCAAAGTCACAACTGGTGGAAATATTTAGATTACTTTTCCATAAATATGCCTGTCAAAGCATGTGCTTTACATTTTGATATGTTACTTATAGGATTGCCACGATGCATATCTGAATCAGATATCTAGGAAACCTCATTTCCCAATTTTGGAGTCATAATTTTGGAGTCAAGACTTGGCTGTTTGGTTGTGCATTTAAGTAACCGGATCAAATTTTGCCATGGTCACTGCTGAATGTTTTTATGTTGAATGTTTTTATGTTGAATGTTTTTATGTTGAATGTTTTTATATTGAATGTTTTATATTGTGTATAAACTGTTTTAAATTGTAAGTCGCTCGGAGCACCTTGGTGGAGAGCGACTAATTAAAAAATAAAGTGATGATGATGATGATGATGATGATGATATTTTACTATTTGTACTGGTAAGAATAATTTTTCTGTTGTTTAGATCTCACAAAGACTAATCTTGGTTAAAGGTAACAGTTCCAACTTTTCCTGCTGTCATTTTAATTTTTACCTCAGAATAGGTTTTGATATTATTAAGTGATATAAGGATATTTAGATGTTTCCGTGTGTATTCCGACTAGAACTGTATCTTTCTGTAAAGAGTTCACATCATAATTCTACACTTACTGTTAAATAAATATGTCAAGAGAAAAATTATTGTCCTCATCCAATTCATTATTTTAGGGATTTTCCCATCATTATTTGAAGTGGAAGACAATTCTTTCCCACCTTGTAATGAATGCATGAGTTTCTAAATGAATTTTTATTGAAAACTAAAAATTTATATTTCCAATGATAATTTATGCATTTTATGACTAAAGGGAATGGAGAAGTAGAAAAAGCATTACCTTTGATGTATACATATTGGTCAATAAATCAGCTTCTAAGGCTTTCATTTCCTCTTCTGAATCTGCAAGTTAATCAGAAACATATGTTTACTATTTCATTATAAATCACTTGCATTTGAGTTTCAACATGTTGGATTTAGGATTATCCTTTAAAGGGATTTTAGGGTTAAGTGCTGGCTAAAATAAATGCTTAGAAAGTGTTTTGTTCTTTAATATATGCTCCTTGATTTATACAGTCTCTCTGGGAAAAGGTAGTTTGGCCATGAAAGATGCTGATTATTGGTCAAAGGCAACATTTTAAGGCTCAGTAATGAACACAGAAGGTAAGGAGTCAAGCTCTGATTTTGTGGAATGGTATTAGGTTTTATGCCTTAATTATTTTAAGCTTGTAAGGATTATTTTTCAGGGTACAAAGTGTGAAAGGACAGTCTTGCCAACCCCCAACTCACAAAAAGAGCTACTAGTTGAGGTTTCAAGCATTGTTTCAGTGGGGTCTCTGTGAAAATGCTTATTATTTAAATAGTAAAAATGTGGAATTATTGAATAAAGACCCAGAGGATTTATACATGTATCTCAAATTGCTTTTTTACCAATTATGAATAAAATCGAAAGAGATTTACAGTTTCACTGGGACCAGTGTTTTTCTTCAACCGCAGGTTGTTAACACATTAACAAGTTTTCAAGTCTATTTCCCAAAGGAAGAGAAGTATAGACCTCATTTTTTAAATAAAACTATTCCTTGAAGAAGATATTTAATTTTCTGATGCATTCATCCCACCACATAGAAGCTCTGTGACCCCACGGAGCTAAGGTTATTTGTGGCTATCCTTGCTGTCCAGTGTTACCGAGAGTGAATTCTGCTGGAATTATTGTCTCTTCCAAATAAAAATACACAGAAGAAATGTCTTTGTCTGACTGAAAACCATGTTTGAATGTAGGCATATTTAAATTAGACTCCCTCATACAAATAGGAGCCAAATTCGTCATGTGTTTATGATTCCATTAATTTCAATGGATGTAAGTATAATTCATTCTTGACCCTAACAGTAGGATTAATTTAGTGAATATAAGTTGTTCTGTTGGTTTGAATGGGTCAAATTAGAACTGTCTACAGTTGGGTTGGGACCGAATTGTGCAAACATATAGAAAAATGCATAAAAATAAAATATATAATTTGAAAGCTAAAATGTTGGCTTAGGATGACAAACATTTACAACATGAACAATATGTTAATTATTTGAAGCTTATATCATTCACAATGGAAACAATATTGTCTCTTAATGAATATTTTTTGGGAATAATGTAAATTATTTGTAGTCTATTTCATAAACGTGTACTTTTCTACACTGAAAATTGTGTCTATTGTTTTATTCTCGATTCTCTTGATCCTGTGATAACCTAAATAGCAAGAGAAATTGTTTTTGTAAAAAGAGATTGCTGAAAATAGGAACTTATTTTCAGGAAAGCTACACAAAGAATTCTGTACTAAATAATAAAAATGGTGTGTGTGCACGCGTGTGCGTGGAGGGGAGTTGCTCTGTGGTCTTTGATCTCATGCTTGTAGATAATTTCCTGGTATTTACAGAAAAAAATGGTTGCCTCTCCCATTTTGTATTCCAAGTCCCTTATTGTTCAGTTCTACCTAAAGAGATGCACCTACAGAGATATAGATACTCATTGCTTAATGAATTAAATGGCAGATTTCTATACTGAATGGACTTTCCATTGAAGGCAACGGGTATGGTGTAATTGAATTTAAACGCTTCTAAAGTTCCACTGAAATGTACTTAATCTTCCCTTTTGAATTACTAGAGTTTAAAAGTGCTGATGATTTCTGGGTTGTATTCAAGATGATGAGGCATAAAGGAATAACAGTGTCCTTGCTTCTTTCAACAAGTGCGTCGTCAATTTTACATCATTGATTTTCCTTTTTCCAATGAGAAAGGCCATGCCAGTGAAAAGAAATGTCATTTTAACTGAAGCTGAAGACCATTTTGTATAAACCATCCACACTTTTAACATTACACTTGGTAATAGATAATTATAAAAAAATAACATTAAACAGTCAGTATTTTCATCAATGTCACAATTTGGGTAGTCCCATGAATTGGGTAGTTCATTTATTAATTTATTTACAAATTATCCTGCTCTTCTCACCCCAAAGGGGATTGAAAGCAGCTTACAACTTATATGCACATACAATATATTATATTATTGGCATAGCACAATATTAGTATTATATATTACTATATTGTACTATACCACTACACTGCAATATTATTAGTAATATTACATGAAATATAAAAATATAATTATTATTATATTATATTGTATTGTTATTATTTTATTGTATTACAATATTATGATCAAATATGATCAATAATTCAAATATGTGAGAATAATTGGAATTATACAAATGTTTATATCTTTTTAGAACCTTTTTTGCCCTGGATAGGAGCATTCTTTTTTTTCAGTTAGATATAACCCAAAATATAATTTGGAAATAAACATCAGATATGGGTTCACACAGGATTTGTAAATCCAACTGGATTAAAAAGGCCTTGTCGTGTAACTGTACAGGATTATGGCTTTTGACTTTAGAGAATCAATTTTCTCTACTTTAGTATTTAACACATACATACATACATACATACATACATACATAGATTTTACATTGCACACACATTTTTATTTTGAATCATGCACTATACAGTTTTACCTGGATACAGGGATCCTGGATCAGAACTATAGAGGTTTTTTCCCCCTTCTCTAAATTCTTCCATGAACTATTTCAGAAATAGTAATAAGTATCTCTGGAACTCATGTAAATTCCTCATACCACTTATTTTAATATTTTGGAAAACCATGTTGGAAAATATGCCATAAAACAATATTTTATAAGATAAAATTCAGATTTTTTTGGAAATAATTGTGTTTTTATTCTTTAAAATCCAAGAGATTCAACATAGCATGATGAAATGACTCTGGAAGATGGCTGGGTGGCCATCTGTCAGGGGTGATTTGAATGTGATTCTCCTGCCTTTTGACAGGGGGTTGGACTGGATGGCCCATGAGGTCTCTTCCAACTCTAGGATTCTATGATTTTAAGACCAGAGTCTGCAATCCTCAGGTATAATGGAGAATCAGGATCAAGTAAAACTCTCTCATCCTTAGAAGAAGGCAATGGCAAACTTCTTTACATAAATCTGACCAAGAGAATACAATTGACAGTAAACCAGAATTGACACGAAGGCTTATAACAATAACAATAACAAGTAAAACTGGTTTGAGTTATGAAACATGGCTTGAGGAGGAGGGATTAAATGAAATTTAAGGAAATACTTTCTTTTTTCAGATAATCTGCTCATATATTGATTCACACCTTGAGTTTTGGATGTACTTTTAGAATAACTGTAAACACTGACTTTCATATGAAATAGAGACCACTGTTGGATGTTAAGTCTGAACAGATCAACATTTTGCTCTTTTAAGAAATATTGTATATAGTTTGAGATAAAAAATTCTCCTAGATTTTGAACCTTTCTCCATCTTAGGACCACATCACACTAGAGAATGAATCCATTTTAAATCTGGTTGTTATCTTCTGTGGACTTCTGGGGTTTGTAGTTTAGAGAGGAGCCTTTAACAGCCTCACTAAACTACAAACCCCAGAATTCTGCAGGAGGCAGAAACCAGATTTAAAGTGGATTCATTCTCTAGTGTCATGAAGTAGTAAGAATCAACAACATATTCTCACAATCATTTCTCCAAACAGTCTCTAAAGAAGATCTCTACCATTACTCCATTCTACTGATGGGGAAAAAACTATCATAAAACAAGCTTGTAGTGCTGTGCCCCAAAGCAGGTTTCAAAAAGACACCTATTGCTTTTTTTTATGCCAGGAGTGACTTGAGAATCTGCAAGTCGCTTCTGGTGTGAGAAAATTGGCCGTCTGCAAGGACATTACCCAGGGGATGCCCGGATGTTTCACCATTCTTGTGGAAGGCTCCTCTCATGTTCCTGCATGGGGAGCTGGAGCTGACAGAGGGAGCTTGTCCACCCTCTCCCCAGATTCAAACTTCCGACCTGTCGGTCTTCAGTCCTGCTGGCTTAACCCTATTGGACCACTGGGGGCTCCGGTCACCTATTGCTAATCTCATGATATGTCAGGTGTGGTCTGGAACAGTGATATTCAAAGTGTTCTGTGAACTGACTCCAGTCTGTAAGCTAGTGACTGCCATGCCCTGTGTTCAGGAGGGGGAAAACAGCTATAGTTAATGGAGATAAATATGGCACTAATCCCTGGCACACAAGTGTTTCTCCCACACCAGACAAGAAGTGCCAGTCTAGACCACAAAGGAGTACAGTATTGGGTGATTTGCAGGAAACCTTCTTGTTCTCAATGAGTTAACAAAAGCAATGATAGCTCTAAAAAGCTATAGTTTTGCCATGGTTAATGCTGACCATTTTGCCATGGTTGTTGTCAGGTTTTTTGATCCCTGGCACACAAGTGTCTCTCCCACATCAGACAGCTTAAGAAGCACTGGGCTAGACCACAAAGGAGTACAGGATTGGGTGATTTGCAGGAGCCTTTCTGGTTCTCAATGAGTTAACAAAAGCAATGATAGCTCTAAAAAGCTATAGTTTTTCCCATGGTTCATGTGATCCATTTTGCCATGGTTGTTATAAGGTTTTTCAGCTTTTCTTATACATTGGTTGTCTCTGACCAGAACTTTTGGCAGCTCATGTTCATTGGGTCCTGAGTTTATGACTCCATGAACATTTTGCTGGAGTCCCTGGTTGCTCAATGGGTTAAACCCCTGTGCCACCAGGGACTGATGATCGAAAGGTCGGTGGTTTGAATTTGGTGAGTGGGGTGAGCTCCCTCTGTTAGCTCCAGCTTCTCATACAAGAACATGAGATTAGCCTTCCACAGAATGGTAAAACATCTGGGTGTCCACTGGGCAATGTCCTTGCAAACAGCCAATTCTCTCACACCAGAAGCGACTTGCAGTTCCTCAAGTTGCTCCTGACATGGAAAAAAAGCCTTTTGTTCATTCATTAAAATGACCTAATTTGATCCAAATTAGTACAGCCCACATATATTTTGGCACAGTGAAAAATATACCACAATTTTCCAGACAGTTCGGTCCATTGGGCAGTGGATTGGACTCTTGTTCCTACATCACACTAGAGAATGAATCCACTTTAAATCCGGTTTCTGCCTGCAGCAGAATTCTGGGGTTTGTAGTTTAGGGAGGCTGTTAAAGGCTCCTCCCTGAGCTACAAACTCAGAATTCTGCAGGAGGCAGAAACCGAATTTAAAGTGGATTCATTCTCTAGTGTGATGAGGTCTGGAATCCCTTCCAACTCCATGGCTTTACTCATTCCTATAATGCTCTTTCTTAATGGAGCCCACATGGCATTTAAGGTGGGACAGCCAAAGCAGAAGCCTCCTTCCAAAAGATGGACGTGAAGGGAACTCTTCTATTAGCTTAAAGGTGAATCTTAAAAAGTCAGCCAGACAATGGGTGCTGGGTTTTTCAAACGATACCCATACAACATATGTAACTTAGAACCTGTCAAATCTGAGTTGCTTAGAAGCCTTCTCCAAAGCCAAGCAGGAACTCCTAACTTTTGAAAGTGACCCTCCAGGTCCCAACTCCTCCCTTTGGAAAGGACTACCAGGGCTGCCTCATCCTAGGTGGAGTTTGGTTCTCATGGGCTTCGCCTGAGAGAGCCAGGCTGCCTAAACCGAGGAGGCGCCGCTTGCTTACCTGCGCACACGCTCCAGGAGGCGAAGGCGAGCAGCATCGCGCACGCCAGCTGCATCCGCAGCATCCTCGTCGCCATCCTCCTCTCTCCTTCTAGAAGGCAAAGTCCATGCAAGAAGGGGCGTGCGAGCGGCAGAGAGGGAGGCCAAGCGGCCAGGAAGTTTGGAGAGAGGAAGAGAGGGAGGCAGAGGCGGGCGGAGGAGCGCGCCAAGATCGGGCTCTTGCCTTCTCCCTTTCCGAGCACCTGGAGCTGCTTCCTGAAGGTCTGGACCATAAGGGCAGCCCTGGACCAGTCCCGGAGTATATAAGGGAGCGGGCGACTGATGTCACGGAGGCGCCGCAGCCACTGTCGTTGGATGCAACGCCTCCTCCCCCCTCCCCTCCCCTCCCCTCCCCTCCGGGAGCCTCTTTCGGGGGGAAACTGACGCGGTTCCCTAATTGCGAGGCGTGATTTCGCGCTTCTTGACGCAAAGACCGAGGAAGGAAAGCGGGGGGAAAGGGGTCAGAGACAAAGAGAAGGACAAAACAGGAAAAAAATGGGGGGAGAAAAGAGAGAAAAGAAAGTTCGCACTGCAACCTCTCCCCTCCCCAACTGAATGCAGTTTGGCACCACTTTAAACTGCCATTGCTCAATGCTATGGGATGATTAGTCTTTCCTGCCAGAATGCTAGTGTTTCAACAGATTGCAGCCCAAAGGATTCCTTACCATTGAGCCACAGGAGTTGAATTGGTGTCAAACCCCATTCATTCTTTTTTTGGTCATGTCAGGAGTGACCTGAGAAACTGCAAGTCGCTTCTGGTGTGAGAGAATTGGCTGTCTGTAAAGACGTTACCCAGGGGACGCCCGGATATTTTTAAAAAATAATCTTTATTGAAAGTTTTAATTAAAATACATATTATATGGAGCCCCTGGTAGTGCAGTGGGTTAAAGCGCTGAGCTGCTAAGCTTGTTGACCGAAAGGTCGCAGGTTCAAATCCGGGGAGCAGTGTGAGCGTCCGCTGTCAGCCCCAGCTTCTGCCAACCTAGCAGTTCGAAAACATGCAAATGTGAGTAGATCAATAGGTACTGCTCCAGCGGGAAGGTAATGGCACTCCATGCAGTCATGCCGGCCACATGACCTTGGAGGTGTCTACAGACAACGCCGGCTCTTCAGCTTAGAAATGGAGATGAGCACCACACCCCAGAGTCGGACACAACTGTACTTCATGTCAGGGGAAAACCTTTACCCTTGACCTTACATATTATATAGAAGCATCAATCATAATATAAAAGGAAAAGAAAAGAAACAAACAAGGAAAGAGAATGGGGAAGATTGAAACGATAAAATAAAACAAGAGAAAAAATAATGAAAAGAAACCATCAACCAAATAGATTTCAGTCCCAACTTCCTGAGTATCTTCTGTGAGGTATCTTCCTTTTCTTTCTTTCCTTTCCATCTTTTGTTTATCCTTCTCCCTTCCTTTCGTCTGGTCTCTCTCTCTCTCTCTTATGTTATATTAATATCATACAGTTTTGTGTTTTAAGTATTCTGTAACTTTCGTCCAATCTGTTTCTTTTATCGGCTTTCCTTTATTTTTAGACATCAAGTAGGTAAGTCTGTCCATATTTCTTATGTCAAGTATCTTTTCCAACCAAGCTTCTTCTTCTGGTATCTTGTGTATCTCTGGACGCCTGGATGTTTTTGATGTGTTACCATCCTTGTGGGAGGCTTCTCTCATGTCCCTGCATAGAGAGCTGGAGATGATAGAGGGAGCTCATCCGCGCACTCCCTGGATTCAAACCTCCAACCTGTTGGTCTCCAGTCCTGCCGGCACAGGGGTTTAACCCACTGCTCCACCAGGGGCTCCCATTCATTCTATAGTGTAGATGTGCCCATAGTTTTCCGGTGTGCTTGCGTGTGTATTAGAAGTGCATGTGTGTGTGTATCTGTCCCTTGATGCACTTTCTCCCATCCCTTAGTGAAGGTTAACCACACTGTTCACCCTTCTGAGTTCTCCTCCCAGATACACATTACTCCATTTATCTAATCTTACCTGTTTAGATATCAGCCAGCATTCCAATGACTTGAATCAAGAAATAGTTTTCTAAGATCTACAGAGACACTCGCTGGAACACCTCAGCAAGCGAGAGTCCAGAAGTGGCAGGCTAAAACCCAGAACCTCAATCAACAGCTGATACCAAATGAGAGACTCCCTTCTGGGCACACAGAAAACTGAGTGACTTGGAATGCGTTAAACAGACTGCTCTCTGGCATCACGAGATGCAGAACCAACCTTAAGAAATGGGGCTACAAAGTGGAATCCACGACATGCGAGTGTGGAGAAGAGCAAACCACAGACCACCTACTACAATGCAATCTGAGCCCTGCCTCATGCACAATGGAGGACCTTCTCTTTTTTTAGAACTAAAAAGTGTTTTAATGATAGCAATTAACAGTAGGTAGTTCAATATCTGTATCACACACTAACTGTTAGTGGAGGACCTTCTTATAACAACACCAGAGGCACTCCAAGTGGCCAGTTACTGGTCAAAGGACATTTAATAGAATGCCAAGTTTGCAAGCTTTTGCAAACAACTGTTTGATTTGCTCCTGACACGATAAATAAATAAAATAAATCTCACCCAGGGTTTTATCAATTTTATCTTGTGCATTTGGCCCACCCACTGTGTTTTTATTCTTCTACTATTTTATTTTGTGTTGTTTATTGTGTATTTGCTATTGATTGTATTTTTCTTTGTTATTATTTGCTATTGTATTTACTTTGCTGTATTGTAATCCTTGGGCTTGGCCTCGTGTTAGCCATCCTGAGTTCCTTTGGGGAGATGGCAGAGTATAAATAAAGTTTATTATTGTTGTTGTTGTTGTTGTTGTTAGGTTCAAACATGAGGGCTAACATATGAGAGCATGTATTTCTATGTATCTTTCAATATTAAACCTAAACCGGGTCAACCCTGCATTGTCAAAGGTTTTCCTGACCGGATTCACTGGGTTGCTGTGAGTTTTCCAGGTTGTATGGCCATGTTCCAGAAGCATTCACTCCTGACATTTCACCCACATCTATTGCAGCCATTCTCAGAGGTTGAGGGTTCTCTTGGAAACTAGGCAAGTTTATGTATTTATTTATTATTTGTGGTATTTATATACTGCCCTTCTCAACCCTGAAGGGGATTCAGGGCAGTTCAATGCCATTGATTAAAAATTAGTATAAAATATCAAAATTGACCACCCCTGATAAAACATTAAACATTATTAAACACATCACATAAAATAACATCACATTATCACACAAAGACATAGCCATTGTTTCCAACAGATGCCTCAACCTCTGAGGATGCCTGCCATAGATGTGGGTGAAACATCAGGAGAGAATGCTTCTGGAACATGGCCATACAGCCCAGAAAACTCACAGCAACCCATGGTCAAGCCTGGTTAGTGTTTGGGTACCAAGTGACATACATTATGCAATGGGCCCTCTGTATCAAAGAGTTCTGCATCCTGGGATTCAACCATCCATGGCTTGAAATTGTTCCAGAAAGCAAATTCAAATTTTACTATTTTATGTAAGGAGCACTGTTTTCTAACCCCTTGAATATAATGGGAGGTGAGCATACATGGTATCCATGGGGTCCTGGAACCAAACTCTATCATTGTAGTTCTAAAAAAGGAACTGAGCTGAGGAAACTTTACCAAATGAATGGGGTCACCTTGAGCTAACAGGTGGCTTGAAGCTGTTTATTTCTGTTGTTTATTTATTTATATATCATGTCAGAAGTGAATTGAGAATACAGTTATAACGTATAGAACAGGGGTTCTCAACCTGTGGGTCCCCCAGGTGTTTTGGCCTACAACTCCCAGAAATCCTAGTTAGTTTACCAGCTGTTGGGATTTCTGGGAGTTGAATACCAAAACATCTGGGGACCCACAGGTTGAGAACCACCACTATAGAAAAACCACAAACAAAGTTTTTTAAAAATAGCATTATACTAAATGTACTTTGACCAGTAGCTGACCACTTGGAATGCCTTTGGTGTTGCTATAAGAAGGTCATCTATAGTGCATGTGGCAGGGCTAAGACTGCGCTGTAGCAAGTGGTTCATGGTTTGCTCTTCTGTGCACTCGCATGTCCTGGACTCTATAGTCCCATGCCTTAAGATTGGCTCTGTGTCTTGTGGTACAAGAGCACAGTCTGTTCAGTGCCTTCCAAGTCGTCCAGTCTTCCATGTGCCCAGGAGGAAGTTTCTCATCTGGTATCAGCCACTGATTGAGGTTCCGAGTTTTAACCTGCCACTTTTGGACTCTCACTTGCTGAGGTGTTCCTGTATCTCTGTAGATCTTGGGAAGCTATTTCTTGATTTAAGACATTGGCTTGATGGCTGATATCAGATGTTGTTGTATGGAGTCAATTCATTGGCTGATTTATGGCAAGGGCAACCCAAAAAATGAATAAATTACTACATATGCACCAGGGCAATTTTACAGATAATGTAAGCATTTTGAGAAGTTGTTTCTGGTTTTGAATAACATTGTGGTGTTTCAGCTCAGCCTCCTTCCCTTCTCTTTTTATCAGCACATCATGTGGGCTAGGCTGAGCTACATTGACTGACCCAAGCCCCCTTTTTGAGTATGATTTGAACCCAGGTTTGCTCGGTTTAAATCTTCATTCTCACTGGTTAGATTACAACACTCTTTCCATTGAATTACCATGAAGAAGTGTCAGGTACAAAAACTGACTAGACAAGGAATTAACTGTGGATCTTGAATGGACACAAACATCACTACACAACATTACATTAATTCAGTAAGAATGGCACATGGTCTGTGCATTCTCAGATAAGGTTATTTTCAGTTCGTTTATAGAAAGTCACCTGATTTTGGGGAGGGGTGTATTTAAGAAAAGGGAAGGAGGTAAAAAGCATGAGGTTCATGCTGGCACAAAATATATCTTGTAAGCCAGTTCTCAAATGCCTATGTGTATGTATATGTGTTCTAATTAGTGGATAAGCAGATCTTCCTACCTTTTCTCAACTGTCCTCACATATCTATTATCTTGCTGTGTGCCTATCTGAGGATTTAGAGGGCTATCTTCTGTGTCTCATCAATGAATTTAATATGAGGATGTGGGAGAGGTCTTTCTCAGCAGTGACACTGCAACTATGACATACCTTTCCATTGGAAGACTGATTGGCATCAATGCTGATTTGTGATTTCATTGAGGCACCAAGTAGAATCATGATTAAAGCATTTGAGCCTCAAATAATTTCCTCAAAATGTTAATGCACATACATGATTTGAAATTATGTTATCTTATTAATTGTATTTTATTTATT